CGAACCAAATGGGTTTTTTTAATTATTTGCCTCTGGAAAATAATAATTAATATAAACAATCTGTTCGTATTTTCAAAACGAAATTTTGTTTTGCTTTGAGTTATGCGATTTTTTTTGTCAAAATTGTATTTTATGTATATTTTTTTAATCAATAAAAAGTAGATAGTCTCTAACAGAGTTGTTTTTGGGAGAGTATAGAAAACATTTAATTCATCAATTAGTTAAAAAAAAAATAAATAGTTTAAGCAAAAAATGTTTGGTTCTATACTTTTTATTCACCTGGTATAAATCGAATAAATCTTTCTGTGTGGATAAGTAGTTGCCTGCAAATAAGTTTTAGCAAAATTGTTTAAAGTGATGTAATAGTAACTTTATTTTGACGGTAACATGTGATCTGAAAAGTACAGATTTCTTAGAAAGGCTTAATTACTAGGTTATTAAAATGGCTTGTCTGAAGCAAAACCAATTTACTTATTCTCTTTCGTTCATTGTGTGCGGTTCAAGATGATGAAAATACAAACTTTAGTGTACTCGAGGATAAAAATTTATTCCAACTTTGATTTTTTATTGTTAAAAGTTTTGCATATCGATGCATATTTGGCATATATTCGAGCATATTTCTTAATATTTGGTGCATATATATGCGTATATTTTACGGATTTTTCGTGCATATAGTCCGAGCCTTATTTATTACTACTTACAAATTCAGTGCAAGGAGAAAAACACTAAAGACTAAGTAGCAAATTTGATCCAGTGATCCAGTTTTTTAATTTATTTTTTTTTGTAAAATAACATGATATTAAGTTTGAAATCTAAACAATATACATTATTTTGTTTTAAGAAGGCTTGGGTTCAGCTGTATAAATTTGTAATAAAGGACTTTAGAAGGCAATACTGTTAAACTTCAGACTACTATTATTATTAAAATTAACAGTCTGCTTCATAATAAGAGTTTGTCTAGAAATTGTGAGCAAAGGAGTTAAGAATTTAATAGAAAAACATTTGTCGCTCTATTACTAGCTAATTTGAAGTTAAAAAAAGTATTTCATTTTAGAATTTGTTGACCTTTAACAATTTAGTTTTTTTGTGGTTAGAGTCTGTCTATGTATACAGGGAAACATTAGAATTATTTTTTTTTTAATTTAGAGAAAAAGTGAAGATATAGCACCTGGAAAATTTTTATATGATAACTTTTTAAAGTTGGAGCAGTACTACTAATCCAGAAAATTTTTAGTTTTTGTTTTGGGAAAACCATATTAAAAATACAATTTAAGGTCACATTTTAGGAAAAGAATTCTCTGAAAACGACATTTATCAAGAGCGACTAGCAACAGATTGCCTCCTCACTTTTTCCCTCAACCATCATTCTTTTTCCCATCTTTCTGTCATTTAAATTCCTCCAACCCAAATCTCTGTCTCCGCCGGCCCTCACTTCATATTCATGGTCCCATCTTCACCTTTTTTTTTGGCCCGATCACCAATTTGCCGTCTTTATTGTTAGTCAACCGTTCGCATTTTTATTTCATCCTGTCCTGAATCCGAATCATCTCGTAAATCCGGGCCCGGATTTACCTTTGACAAAATCGCTGGATCTTTTTAAGAACAATTAGGCGGAAACGCGGAGAAAAGTCAATAAAGGTATTGCGGAAGTTTGCGATTAGGACGTTTATAAAGTTTGTGACCTGAAGCTGATTAACTCGTTTGAAACGGCCATTGTCGCGAGAGGCGGAAAATAAACCAGGAATAATCAATGGGAGTTAGCTTTGTTGGCCACCGGAGTGATAGACATAATTGAAAAACTTTCCCAACAACGGGAAAATTAATTCTGTTATTGTCCAATTTGTAGAGAGATATTTCTTTCGGGAGGGAACGGCGTGTGGTATAACCTAATTTGATGCTCACATCTGCTAATTATTGTCCCCATTAAGTTCGCTATTATGCCTAAAACATGGAATAGAGCTTTAATTACGCCATCTTCACAGGACGCACTGGAGCTTTGATGCTTACAGGAGCGGCGTGGAGGTGTCGAAAAAGGGTTTTCACGATTATATTGAAAAATTCATTAAACATTTCGGGGTTTTAATAACAATCACAGGGTAAAGCGAAAATGGTGTCGTTGACAGCTTGTTTAATATTTATAGCGTGAATCATTTAAAGCCTTTTAAGAATGAAGCAGCGATCAAGTTTGTGTTACTTTCGACTTAAATATTTTAACTCATTTTAAGTGGTACATGCAAGGTACATAAATAAAATACAAGAAGGTATATAAAAAAATTAACTTTATTTATTGCTGTTTTGGAAACATTTAATTACTGAAGTTTTTAGTTACTTTTGACATAAATAAAGCAACAATATAAGCTTTTAAAACTTTTAATTTTAAAATAAATGTTCTATTTTGAAAAATGAGTTTCTTTTCTTTTATTTTGTTATTAACTTATCTATGGTAAATACTTGTTAATTACGAGTACTTTGTCCACACTTTTTTTATACAAAAAGTGTTATTAAAATGAGTTAGTTCAAAGAGATTTTTTTAGTTTTTGTCATCAATTACTCGTATTATGTTACTGACATCAATTATTAGCATTTTCGTTTATTATGAGAAAATAACTCAACGGAAATTACTTTCCTTCTGACAAAAAATGCTTTGTTATCTAACTTTGAGATATCAACGTAACATAACGATATTGAAATGCTCACGCAAAGTGACAATAAACCCATCCTTGATGGTTTTAATAAACGAAATCTTCCAAAAGCTTCACTAGATCAGTATCAGTGCACGGCACAATTATTCAAATACCTCTCATCACTGGCACTAAAACTCACCAAATTACCTAAACTAAAACTATAAATTAGGATAGTGGCGTGTCTGAAAGCTTAAAGCTCTGACAAACATGTGTAACTAACTCAGACATATAGCACGACTTACAAGGGCTTGTTAATGTAGCAAACTGGTTTCGTAAAAATGTCAGCTTCAACTTTAATTGCCAATGTAAAAATGTAATTGCAAATGTAGATCTCATAAATCTCCCGGAATTAAATTGTAATTTCGAAAATTACTCTCTGCATGAAGAACGAACTTAATGAGTGTCTGATTCAAGCAAATCTCTTGAATTTGAAACAGATGGAAAATTAGCTTGAAATAAACCGTCGTTCAAAACGACTAGTATTGATAAAACGAGTTTTTTTATTATCTTTTTGACGCTTTGTGCCGTTCAACTTTTCTATTGTGTGGGCGAAAATGATATGGATGCGGCTGCTGATGTTAACTATGAGTTTTCATGCAGTTTTCATGCAGATTCGTGCATTTTTTTTCAAATGCTGACTTTTACAATGAACCGAATGAAATCAATGAAATAAAAAATCTGAATATTTACTTTTATTTTCGATTTATTACCAACTTTTGATACATATTTAAATTAACGTAAAAATGAACTGAATTTTTGTGAAAATGCTTAGAAGGTACAATAGGACAGTTCCATCAGTGACAGGAAGTAGTCTCTCGAACCGATTTGGCACGTTCACATAAATACTTAATGTTCCTCTTCACTTTATTGCCTTTTGACTAGCCCACTTTTCTTGCATAATTGGCAAAAAGCGAGCGAGACATGTTGACGGCAATGGAAAGTCGATTTTCAGATTTAACGAAATGATTTGAATATTTCAAAGTAATTTTTTTATAATTTTCAAAAAAATTACAAATCATAAGTAATTTGATCCCTTGGTTTGGCGCTTTTTCCAACCTACATTTTCAAGCTGCTCGTTATTTTCCACACGATTTGTTCCATGCTAAAACACTTCAAGAACAAATTCGGTCTTTCATCAGATATTTAATGGTTATAGCTCCAGGTTTTGGCGAAATGTAATTGAATTTTTTTATTTCTGCACCCTCGAATCTGAAATTTATTGCTACGTCGATGACGCTTTAAAATGTCTTCTAATAAAATATTTACAAGAACTTTGCGTGTATATCTTTTGATGGATTTTAGGGCAGTTTTAGAGACAGAAGCATAAATCAGTCATTTTTATGGCCGAAAATAAATAATTTTACGACAAATTTCAATACACGGTTGCGACTGAAATAAATCTGAAAATTCTAAACGAAGCTGAAGTATTGTTATCTTTTCGTGCTTGTTCTATTTCAAAGGGATGTTTGAAAAAGTTCACACAAGTTGAAAACACAACTCATGACAATCGAAGATTTGAGACTACACTCTTGTTACTGATAACATCTGCAAACATCATACAAAGTTTCATCTAACACAACTGAAAGAAAAGAAAAATTGATTAATTTAGACAATTAAGCGAATTATGTAAATGCAATGTAAAATTATGGTAAAATTAAAATTAAAAATATTTTTTGCGAATAAGTAGTAAAACGTTAATTAATTAAATTTTTTAGTTAACCATTTCGTTTACTGTTGTTATAAGCAGAATTAATAAATGTTTTTTTACTATACGAGTATTTCTCTAATTAAAGAGAAGACTTAAAAGCGCTAATTGGAGTTTCGTAGGAGCAATAATTTTATCCCTTTTTGTAAATTTTACGAATGGTTTATTTGATGCGAATTTTTTACTGTGTCATTTCAAGAATCATTTAGCAGCTTTAAATCACTCATTAAAAACCACCACTCACGTTCATGGCGCTTTCGGCACAATAAAATTTGGCCCCATCAAACATTTAACTCAACTTGTTCAATTCGGTTAATTTAAAATTCTTTTGGCGCTTTCTATTTGAATAAATTTCGTTTACAAGCCTCTCTTTAATAGAGCGCTTTTTGCCTTGCACTTGAGAATTTCAATGATCTTTCTGCAAAGTGTGAACAAGCATTAGTCTTGTCACTGTTGAGCCCTGTGTTGGGTTTAATTGAGCGAAGTTTGAGATGTATTGCACTGACTGTGATTGCATTAACGGAATCGAACCGAAGCTCAATCTTTCAAAGTGACTGATTCCTTTCTAATCCATTCTGCTTCGAATTTCACCAACAGCTTGTTTGTTGCAGTTTATTTTCGGACCTACGCAATCTGTCGGGAACGACGCTGATGAATTTGCTGGCGGCGCTGTTCATGACGCAACTTCTTTATGTTGTTGGAGTCGGAGGAGTGCCGGTAAGTAGGAGGAAATTACCGGAAAAACGTGATTAAAAAATGGTTTGAATGTTTTTTTATTTGCAAAGCACAAAAAATATGTAGGATGAAATTACGCTCACCGGTATGGGAATGGAATCATGTGATTTTTTTGTCTTATTGAAATTAAAATTTCCGTTTTGATATAAAGTTGTAAAAATAAAAGAAAATGTTATTTCTGTTGATAAAAGATTCCTTTCGCTTTGAAGTAAATTGAACGAAAACATTTAATAAAAACAGTCTTAATGTAATTCGATTTTTTTACGAAATATGCTTTGTTTCTAGTGATCCTATTAAACTGAGGTAATCTCTGCTCACCAGTTTCATATTCTAAACAACACTCGTGGAAATTAAACCAGTTGCTACTGGATTTAACTATTCTCTGTTTATTAGCGGAGTAATTTTTACAACTGTTAAACTATTTCATTAAATTGACATGGATTTAATTATTATTTCATCTGTTCAAACAAAGTCTTCAAATAATTGTATTTCATTTTGGATTATTATTAATCTGAAAATTGATTCAGTTTTTTGATATCAAAAATTAATTCTTTCACAACCATTTTTTATAAACTTTGTTAATAATAAATAACTGGAAAAAACTTAACTCACTAAAGTTAATTGTTTTGTACAGCAACTCATTGGAAATCATGTTTGTTTTTAAAATCTACACGTTTTACAAAATTTTACAAATCTCGTAATTTTTATTTACGCATTTACCTTTTTAATTATATTATTTGAAGTTTTAAAAGCTATTAAAACAACAAGAGTTTTAAACTATAAAACTTGTGTTGTTTTTAAAAATTTTTTCAACACTAATATTGGATCAGAAATACAAAATTCAGAAATTCTTATAAAGAAATTTGTCAAAATAATGTTAAAATTGACGACATATATTTTATACAAGGAAATGCACTATAGAAGCAGTATAAGATACGTATATTAATTAGTATTAGAAAAATATTTTTTTTACCTTATGTTTAATTTATACGATTACCAGACAAGAAAATCGTTTTTTAAATGCTTCGTTGCTGAGATTAATTTTTTTATCCTTACTGAAAATACCTCATTTTCAAACAGAATATAAAATAAGTTACTTTTCACATTAAAACGGGAATATTAAATTGTATTTGAATAATTAAAAACGTATGTTTTATTTTTATTGTTTAAGAAACATACACATTTCTTATTGACGAATGTTCAAGACGAGATCTTGAACTTATAGAAAGTAGGTTGAACATAAAATCAATATTACACATTTTTGTAGCTGCTGTCAAAATAAAAAAAAACTTTTATAAAAAGAGCTGTGAAATTTTGTCAGAAGCTTAAAACTTTTGCCGAGCAATTTATCGAAAGAAGAAAAAATTAAGCAAATTAGAATAGAGCGTCAACAGTCAAGAACAGGTTAAGCAGTGCCAACACAAAAAAGATCTTGGGTGAGATTTTATAAACGAGCTTTAATTAAAGCGTGAATCAAGAAAAAAGAAGCCTCTCTATTTTTGTGTTAACGCTGCAACTTTAAACGTTGGTTATTACATTTTTTGCAGCTATTCGCCAGTCAACTAACTAAAAAGTTTCTTTTTTATGTATGTAATAATTGCTAATTTTACCTGGTATTTTATTAAAAAACTTTCTCTGTTTAAAAAGATTAGTTAATGACGAAATTTCTCTCGTTCATTTTTAATTAATTTTAAACAGATATTAATTTTTTTACCGGCGCTAATAGCCTACAAATTGCTAAGCACACCTGTCGGAACTCTCCAAGGAATATATTTCACACAAACTGTTTACCTCTAATGGAACAGTATTTAGCGGTAATGCCGAATTAATGTGAGCTTTATAAATATAAGAATACTTTTATGTTCTAAATGTAATTCGTTTGAAACATTCTTCGTGTAAGTTTGGTGTAAAAACATGTTTGTCTCGTTTCTTTCGCTTCAAAAAAACTTACGAGTTAAATAGAAACACGATGTTAAAATTGCTCCAACTTCTCCACTTACTCCTCTCTTGAACTTGCTCGCTTCCAATAAATACGCTTAAAAACCAATAAAGCACTTTTTTTGGTATTCAGAAGTCGAATAAATTATTCATCCTCAAGCTGCTTTGTGAAACTTCAAACAAAAGGTCGTTGAGGTGAAAATATTACTCAAGTTCTCCAGTAAGCAGTGCTCGCTTCGACTTTTTTTAATTAAGTTGTATACTACTGACATTTTCATATTGTTGCGAAAGTTTTTCTTGCGAGTGGTAGGTAGAAGTAATTTCATTTATTTTGTCTGAAATATCATTCGAAAACAATCATTCTCAAGGAGTTGCTTAAAATTTAATTTTTTCGACGCGAATTATCCAGACGTTGTGCTTTAATAACGGAACCTTGCAAACAAAGCAATTTCGGTCGGTTTTTGATTAAATGTCGGGAAATTTTCTTATTTTGCTTGCGGCAATCCTTATTATTAGACCTCTTTGCTTTCTTAAGCAAAACGAAGAGATAAACATTCATTTTTTTCAGTGAGTAGCTTTAGGAGGTTTTTGACTAATCGTGTTATTGATTGCTTCTGATGTCAAAACAAATTCGCTTTAAACAATCTGAAATCGAGCACAAATTTAAGTTTTATTTTGATTCTCTCAGACTTGTTTACCACGCTGTTTGGCGTAGATTTGCTTAAACCCTGAAGTTTATCAGTGGGCACTTGGCTATTGTTGACCTCTTCAAGTAGTTTCAGACTTGGCAGCCGACTTTGTTGCATTAACTACTCAAACAGTTTGATGTCTTGTGTTAATTCTCCGATAATGTATTGTAATGAAATGCCTCAGATTGAGTTTAATTGCACCAAACTGAAATGTAGTTAAGAAACTAATTGCCACTTGAGGTTTACCAAGCAACAAATCGATTTCGAGTTGAATTGGGCAAAAGCAATTTCCTAGTGTTTGGCTGCTGAAGCCTCTGAAAGATTAAACTGTTTGCAAATCCATTAAAAAACTGAATTAAAAAGGAAACTTTCTAAGAAATTTTAAGCAAAAGTTTCCAATTAAATCAATCATTTAAGGTTTTAACACCAAAACTTTAAGGCGATTAGTGTATTAGAAAGCAAAATCTTAAATTGTTAAGTTTTTGGGTGATCAAAAATTACCTGGAGCATTTATTATGGATAATTAATAATGTCAATACTTATTATATTAACTTTGCTTAATTCATTTATTCAATAATTATATTTATAATTATAGTAGAATTAATTATATTCATTATAATAATGTAAATATATTATTATTAAACATTTTTAACACCCAAATAATTTTTTTCACAGGTAAAATAAACTGACTCAATGTAAAAAATCAATAACCTGTTACGGACTTTGTGATTAATTAGACAGAACAAACCAAATAAATAAAAATATGTTTTGCTTTTATTTACCGGTTGAATAAAAAACAACGATTAACAATGCATCTAATCTTAATATTTGCACGCTACATTTTGATCTCCAACATTTTTTATTGGTTGTTTTAATGCGGAATAAAATTATGTTGTTCAAACGTAGACAATCGCTTCAATCACTAATAAAATTCTGAAAAACAGATAAATCGTATAAATTAGGATAAATCCTTGAATAAAATTACGGATTCAAATTCGGAAAATAAATAATAAAGTCCCAATATTAAGCTCGGACTTAAATAATAAATGGTATTCTTGACACGTACTCATTAATTATTCTTGGTGCAGTGATTTATTAAGTTGAAAAATTAATTCATAAGCTTTATACACAACCTGACAGTTATATGAGGTGAAATTGCTGGTAAATGAAATAGATTAATTTTAATTTAATTGAGTTAAATTTTATCGTGTTACTCATTTTCTCAAAAATAGTTTAAGACAAAGAGCGTTACTTTGTCCTATTTTGAAATTGTCTTAAGGCCACACCAGAAATATAAATAGAAGATTGTAAAGTTTTTCCCTTATCATAATTTTTCACCTCCCAAGTCGCCGAAATTTTGAAAACTTACATTTAGCAACGTCGATAAGAATCTCCTAAGCCATTAGTTAGGTTTGTAGGTTGGCGCCTTCTGTTTTTAAAGTTGGTATTACCCTGGCGCCTCATAAAACTTTTTACGAGTGAGTAACTTCTGCCATCCTGCAATTCATTAAACTCGGCGATATTCAATAAACGTTTAATCCTCGTTTGCGAAATTGCCGTCGAACAATACACAAAGTTTTCCGGTAATTTACATAATTACTCATCGATGAAAATTCAAATTTCAATTCCTACAACCTTCGAGAAGACACCGCGGACAGAATAACTTTCCCGCTTTGCGCGAAACTTTGAGATAATTACTGAAATATTAAGTGAAATGTTGAGACTCGGAACCACTTATTTATTTTTGTAGAAAGACTTAAAACAGTCTCTTGCATTAATTAAATGTGAGTTTGATAATTACAGAGACCAATTAAATTTTTTATAGATTCGATCAGAGCTAATTGGAAATTCTCTAATTTGAAGATAAGCCTGCTTCTGTTTTATTTCATTTGAAATCGTTACTAAGTTTAAAGATGATCGCTTTTTATTTATTTAAAAATGGTCCGCTTAGCTTTTATTATAATTTTCTGATTACTCAAGTTCTAAGTTGGCTTTTCAAAAGGTAAGCTTTAGTATTCGACTTTATTTAGAAATTGTAGGTGTAATCTATTTCTCTGCAGAAAAATGGCAAAAATTTATCTGTAATGTAATGTTGAAAATTAGTTTTTTGTAACTAAAAATTACAAACAATTAGTGAAAGAATATATTAAACAAACAATAAATAGCCCGGCGCCTCCACCAAAATGACACTTAAAAAAAAATTAGGAGATAGTTTAAAATAACTGTTTTGGATCTATTAACAGATATTTTTTAGACTTTATTAAACGAATAATAAAAAATAGTAGAGTTATCTAGTTTTTTATAGAAAAATTCAAATCCAAAAAATTTTAAAAAGGTCTAAATATTTCGAAAACA